TTGTTTGATAAATAATTAGTACAGCTAAAAATAATATTTTCCCATTGTGGCCTTCACAGTTCTTTTGAATGTAAGAATTCTCTATGATTCAAAGTTATTTTAGCCGGAAAAATAAAACATTTACCTGTGTAGAAAATCCGTTTACTCCCACATTTTAGGTAAACAATTCAAATTTATTAATAAAAAAATACCTAAAAAAAATTACGAAATGTGCAGAAGAAAGGCAAAAATTACGTAAAATTCCTTTTTCATTGAAGCAAAACAAAAATCTGGGCATGAAACATAGAATAATAAAATTCGCATTTATACGCACAATTCACTATAATTCAAATAAAGGCAATGTAAACAATCCAAATTAATAACTCTGCAAGAACGCACATCCAAGCATTCATATATACATACGTACATACATACATATATGTTTGTATGTACTAGCATATCGATGTATATATGATATACACACGTGTGTACATATGTATGTAGTTAAGAATAACTTTTCAACTGAGTAGGTGGACGGACTACTTACGCAATTTTCAATCAGACAAGACTATCCGCCAAGCAGATCACAACCCAGTGCAAATTTAGGCGACCCAGTCTACAGCGACCACATTGCGGCTAACAAGCTTTGCACACATACACACGCACACATATTCGCTTTGTATAGATTTGTATCTCCAAAAAAATAAAAAGCTTTTTTTTGCGATCAACTCGCCGCTTGAGCTGCTGCCTACTTGGCGTCGTTGGCAATTAGTTCATTAACTCACTCAGTTCTTACTGAGATCGGTGGTAGCACGGGTGGTGGTCTGGTTAAATTTTTGTTTGTGTTGGCCCCATTCTGTCGCAATACATTGATGTTGTTTTTTTCGCTCCAACTACATACATATATTTAATTGTATCTGTTCGATTACGTTGGGCAGACGCCTGTGCGCTCAGCTCAATTGACCAGATGGCAGGCAGTTCAATGGGAGCCGTCTGTGCATATTTTGCAAATTACAAGCGGATCTGTGTATTTGTTAGTGGAGCGCATCCGATCGATATCAAAATCGCATATTTTCTTATTCAATACTTGTAAATACACAATACATATTTAGTCACAGATGCATACATACATCCACTTATGAATATTATTATGTTTGTTTGCTGAGCGTATCGGGCAATCAACCGCCGTCTTCAGTTTCTGATTGTTTTCCTTTTTTTTTTGTTTATGATCTTCTTGCCTTATAAAGTGCGATTTTTCGTATTTTTTGAGCATTCGTGTTCTTGAGAGGTGTGGCCATCATAGATGCTTACTAGAGATTTCCGCACTTCAATGGGAATCTTGCGAAATGTAAAGCAAACAAAAATGCTGGGTTATTTGGTTTTTTTTTGCTGCCTGCTGCGTAAGGTGTGCTGTTTCCTACTCGTAATCGTAAAAAAAAACAGTAAAAAGTAGCCGAAAATAGAGATTATCTTGCTTCAAAAATAGGTTCGCCAATGGAACGCAAATAGTTTATCGTAGATATTTACATACATACATATTTAGATACACAAGTATTAAACTGGTTACCTATTTACTTTAACCCTCTAACTGCCACTTTTATTGAAATTTTGTTATTCCTCTTGATCTAACGTTCACCTTGTCACCGGCGACCAAACAGGTGCAGCATAATTAGAACCGGCCAACCAATTTCCCCCGGGTGTTGCCGGCAAGTGAATTCATGGACAGTTGCAGCTGTGTGCGCCGAGAGGGAGAGCAGGCAATCAAAGGTTACCCCTTGGAGCCTTTTGATCACTCGATGTTTAGCCTTATCCACCCAAAAGATACAGTGTAAAATGCCGACTCAAATAGCTCGCGCATTTCTTCGAGTCCGATGAGGCATGGGAACCAATCAGTTTATTGGCGGTGAGCTTCGCACAATGGGCCTCATGCTTAAAAAATGAGCTTAGACTCAGACACAGTATTTGCATGCTGAAGTGAGCAAGTGTCAAGCTCACGAACTTATGCCGAAACTCGAGTCGGAGCTTAAGCTCAATTTTTATGCATGAAGTTCAATATGCTTATAGCCTTATAGAGCCGTTGGGCATCCTTTCGGTTGACCTTTTCCAGCATAGTTGCAACTTTTCAACTCCCGCAGCCGACTTGAATAGCACAGCTAGCTGGCCAGTAACTTTGTTGATTTTCAACAGCGAAATTACTAATCGCACCTCGATATAGTCAAGTCATCGCCTACGACTGGAGGCTCGGTCTTATCTTCAACATCAAGACGCGCACTACAAATTAAAGGTGATGGTCAGAAAAACAGTCAGTGTCAGGTAAATCTTTTTCAATATTTAACATTCATGTAGAGTTTGCGGACTATCTGGAAGGCTGATTGCCTTGTGCCTTGTAGCTTTCGGTATTTGCTTTTCATGTGTACATCAATTTAATTTTTATAATCAAAACAAACTTGCAAACATATGCACTTAACCAGGCGATTAGCTCATTTTTATTACTCACAATCAGTTAAGTCGGCTCTTTGGTGAGGCGCTTGACATTCAAAGTGAATTAAATACTACCCGACTAGCCAATCAACAGTTGAATGCATCACACATTGCTTGCATACATACATATGTACATATACTATATATGGTATATGCAATGCATATGTGCATTCAAGTTTTATGCCTCTGGGCGCTATACATTTGCATACTGACGGTGGCATGTTGCACGATTAAAATCCACTTTTTTCCTGCATTTTGATGAGTGATCACCACACGTAAGATCCAAATGAAAAAACGTTCACGCGGCTTGGTGCGCCCGCTAGCTGCTGGCGATTGACAGTAATTGGAAGCGTGAATTTAATGTTGACTTAATCGAATTTTGAACGTTGCAATCACCAATTTGAATGACGCCAACCTGCCAACCATCGGTGAACGATCTGCAAGTATAGCGGGGTGTATTGCCGCTAAACTGTTGTTTATTATTTTTGACAACGAACGGATGAAGTAAATTGGGTGATATTTTTAATAACTGCATATAAATATACATACATACATACATACATATATGCAAATATGTTGGCAGAATTCGTGCAAATAAAATGCTCTTATTTTTCGAATATGACATGCACCGCGAAAAAATGTAAACAGAAAAAAAATTTTTTTTTAATTTTATTGGTACACTGCATAATTAAATATGTACATAACACATACTAACACTCTTGTTTGTATATACAGTGAACGTCAAAAGTACTAAAATTTTCTTATTTTTTTATTATTTTAGTTCATTCAACAGCAAAAACCACAAGAATATTTTTTTTTTTTTTTCATACAGACCTCGGGGAAAATGCAAGAAATTTGCATCGAAATTTTCAACTTTTCAAATCGATTTCTTTGAAATTCTTTGAACTCACTTCAAACTGCCGTTGATTTTTGAGAATTTTTTACCGAGGGTTTTGCGCATTTTTTTTCGATATAACGCAACGAACAAAATCTTTTTTACATGGATGAAGGTACGCAACACCCTCAGCGAAAAAATTCTCAAAAATCAACGTCAGTGTACACTTATTTTTGACGCTCACTGTATGTCGGTATGTATGTATATTTACTCATATATATCTACATATATGATCAATTTTGTACATTTATTTATTTAAATTTGCATTTATCTTCGTCAAATATCTACTCCACGATCATTTCATGAACATCGTTTTCCTTGAATTAGAAAAAAAAATTAAAAGTGTTTTGTGAGTCACTTCAAAAGTTAAAATGAAAAGTGGAAATAAAAAAAATACTCTCATTACATCCCGCTCATGTTATTGTACCAAGTTGATCTGTTTGGCAGTGAAATTTATCTTCATTGTTCTCCTTCTGCAATCGTTTTTTTTTGGGCTTTTTTCCAAAAGGATTCAATACTTCGCGACTTTAAGGTCGTACGTAGCTAATTGTGGTAGACAGTGATTATAATCAGCCCGATTTTTTTCTCTAAGAGCCCCCGCACAGTACAGACTTTCTAGCTTGAACGCAATCCGGCTGCATTTCCAACTATTTAATGTCCATGTGATTCAAGCGAGCTCGACTAAATCAGCAGCTGATAACGTCTGCAGTGTGCGGGGGCTCTAAACCAGGCGTTCAAAAACAGTGGATATTGAGTTGAATGTAAACATGTATTATAATTTCCTTCTAAAACTGATTTTCATGCCTAAAGAAAGAGTTTGTGACCCTGTAGATATTTGGAAAATTCAACGGATCCTAAAAAATTAAATAAAAGTCGCGAAAAAATCCGCAAAGTTCTTGAAAAAAATTCCAAACAGTAGAACACGATGAACCCCGAAAAATTTCCTAAAAATCGGGAGAAAAATTTTAAAGGTTTCGAAAACCCCGAAAATCAGGTAAAAATAACCGAGTATTTCTTCATTTCACTTTAAGAAATTTCACTGAAGTATTTACACACCTTATTAAGCATATCGTCGCCTGGGTAAAATATTGTCGTAAGCGCCATTTTGACGATTCTTAGTTCTAGATGCAGTTATATATTTTGAAATAAGGTCTTTCGATTGGTGTTATCAGTTTTTAGATATCTCCTTTAGTTTCCGAGATAATGACTACAACTTTTTCGATAATTTAGTAAAAATTTAGTTGGTGATGCAGTCATATTAAATTAATCAATATCATAAAAATTCCCCAAAAATCGATGGTAAGTCCAAGCTTCCTCATACTTGCACTTTATTATACTAAAATTGAATGGGCTGCATACTCAACTTTTTTCTAGAGAGCGTAAATAAAAAGTGCAATATTTGAATGAAATTTTGCAGAATTTTCTTTAATTTTACGCAAGGTTTGGAACTTTGTTTTTTGGTTTTTTTGTTGTAGAATTGAACATATTTTTATAAAAATTTAGCGAAAAACAAAATATTTAATAAATAATTGTCCGTATTATAAAAAAATCGCTGTACCTAAACTTTATTGACTGACTGTATATAGGTTTTCATCTTAATTATTAATAAAATTTATAAAACCAATTTCTTTTCTTCTAATTACAGTTTTCCCAAATATGGCGAATCCATTGTTGAAAACCTGCTGCTTCTGTCAATCGCTACGCAATGGCTCCATCATTTCTGGCCTCCTAGCAATTACCTTATCAATTATAACGATAATCATTAGTTTGACATTGCGCATAGATTTCAATACAATTGATTTCGATTGGCTACCAAAGAATATTGTTAAAATAATATTAATAATAAATCTTTGTATGACCATACTTATATCGCTGCTCATGATCATTGGAGTGATAAAGGTGAGCGAAGAGCAAATGTGGAATGTATTTTATAATCGAGTATTTTTACACAAAACTTTTTGTTTTAATTATTTCTCATATCAATTTGTCGATTTGTAGCGCAATCACTATTTAATGATGCCATGGGTCGTTTTGGGCATTATGATCGCAATCGGTTTGCTTGTATCGGTGATATACACAGCCGTGAAGGTCTTCATCGACGGTTATGTACTGACTTGTATACTGTGGCTTGTTTTTGGTTTAATTACAACAGGTAAGTTCTCGTTTTTTATGTACCCAAAATATATTCAATCTTTTTTTTTTACTACCGATTTCAAGAAGATTCAAAGTAACAACATATTGAATTTTGTCAAATTTCACTTTGAAATAAAATTAAAATCAATGTATGTGTTTTAAAAAGGCCTCATAGAAATTTCATTGCCGAATATTTTGTGAGCCGCTGTATCTGCTAGTGTTGCATACATACATACATATTTACGCATTACATTATCAATCACTTTTTATTTTAAATTGCTTACTATATATTATTATGCAAATGCGGTCGTTAGAAATGTGGCAACTTTTTTCCAAGCCAAAATTACCGGATGCAATTTATTAAAAAATGCCTCATTGCAATAGCATTTAATGCGCCGTACGCTGAACGCCAGCTTATCGAGAAAAAAAGCCAAAAAGTATGCTACGAATTTCGATACTTGCATACATTCTAGCAAACCTTGTGTTCAGAAATGCATCAAGCCCAATATCAGTCTCTTATTTCTAAAAAAAAATAAGGCATTTCTATCATAAATAAAGGAGACTGATGCATTGGCTTGATGCATTTCTGAACGTAGCCAAACTGAAAACAGCCAAGGGCAAGTTAATGAAACTAATAATTATTTTATATTTCTTCCAAAGCAATTCTCACCTACTGCTGGTGCGTTGTCTACAGCGAATACACAGTCTTGTTGCAGGAGAACGAAAGGGGACGCTACAACAAGCAGCTCTATCGTCGTTAAGAAAGCAGCAGCAGCAATTATTGAAGCGAATAATCGAAACAAAAATAATTAANTTATTTTATATTTCTTCCAAAGCAATTCTCACCTACTGCTGGTGCGTTGTCTACAGCGAATACACAGTTTTGTTGCAGGAGAACGAAAGGGGACGCTACAACAAGCAGCTCTATCGTCGCTAAGAAAGCAGCAGCAGCAATTATTGAAGCGAATAATCGAAACAAAAATAATTAAAATAAAGCAAAAAATTTACGTTTTACATTTTTTTCTAATTAATATGTTTCTACCTGGAAGCATTCGAAAAAGTAGTTTTTACATTTTAAGTTTAAGCAGACGGCAACATACTCAAAACTTCCAGTGAAAAATCGTTGTTATTTGGTGTAAAAGTTGCAACTAATATTTTTAATTTATGTATTTATTGGCAAATTTTATTTTATTACTTAAAATGCACTCGTGTAATTTTCTATGATGCCCCTTCTCCATTCTTCTTAAAATAATGTATGTATAAGTTTCTTTCCTTCTTCTACAATTCCTTTTTCACTCACTTTTTGCTCACCGTATGAATTTACTGGAATTAGTGCAAATTTTTTTTAAATNTTCCTTCTTCTACAATTCCTTTTTCACTCACTTTTTGCTCACCGTATGAATTTACTGGAATTAGTGCAAATTTGTTTTTTAAAGTAATACATTTTTGAATTTATAATATTGTATGTAAATTTACATGTGTATTTTTATGTATTACGCACATCGTACGTTACATGTATTGTTGTGTATTTGTTGTATCGAATAAAAATGAATATCATTATTTTTAATAAAAACTCGTATGTATTTGTTATGGTGGTTTTGTTATTTATTGCATAATTTGTTTCTCTTTTCACACATCATTAGTCGTTTTGCAAAAACTATAAATGCCTTCGATCAAAATTTTTCTAAAAAATCGAAAAACATTAAAAAAAAAAACTGCCGCAGCTTTCTTGGTGCGTATAACTAATTTCTGGGTGTACGCATAATTATAAATTAATTTTTGCACAAATGGATGCACTTATTTATGTATGTAGTAGTTATTCCTTATAATTCACTGTGCGCATATTTCGGTTTCAGCTCTTCTATTCTCTTAATAAAGTCTGTTTTCTCAAGACAACCATCGCAAGTTTCATCCCAGTCGTTGAGTATTTTCTTCAGATCACGCACTTTCAGTTTCTTTAGATCTACACTGTTCAAATCAATTTGTTTCTCTGTTAAAAAAGGCGAAGAAAAAATTGATTAAATAGCACTTCATTTTAAAAATGTAATTCAAGTAAAAAAAATATTATGCACAAATTTGTATGTGNTACACTGTTCAAATCAATTTGTTTCTCTGTTAAAAAAGGCGAAGAAAAAAATTATTAAATAGCACTTCATTTTAAAAATGTAATTCAAGTAAAAAAATACTATTATGCACAAATTTGTATATGTGGGTATGTAGATGACTTGATAGATTAGCCCTTGGAATTCTTTTTTTTTTTAGATATAAATTAAAGCCTTACAATATCCTCATACTTGTAAACATTGATAATGGAATACCTAATCTTTCGAGTAGTCTNTTTTTTTTTTAGATATAAATTAAAGCCTTACAATATCCTTATGCATGTAAACATTGTTAATGGAATACCGAATCTTTCGATTAGTCTGGGCACTTCCAATCGCTATCGTTATCGCATTCTTTAATATTTACATAATTTCAAAAATTGTTCTTTAAGTATATGACCTCACAGATAACCTTTCTAAATGTGGCAAGTTTAAGAGTGTTTCCTAAATATTTTCGTACAACAAGATGAAAAATAAACTTTCGAAATTTAATAACTTTACTATGGATTGTTTTCAAGTTTTATGGCTTGTCTTGATTTAACAATGTCACCTAATTACATATCGACGGCTATTTCGAAGACCAACATACCTTTCTTCAGAATTTGGTTGAAGTACGCCCTATCTGAATATGTGTTGATATAGGGCGTTTTTGAGGCGGCAGCTGAAGATAGGGCGTTTTTGAAACGAATTCTGAAATAGGGCGTTCTTCAATCAAATTCTAAGATAGGGCGTTTTCGATCCGGCTTCCGAGATAAGTCGATCTTCCAATCAGCCATGTATTTGCATTTGAACCAAGTAGTAAAATCAAAACATTTACAAAAACTCTCTGGCGCTATTTTAATGAAAATATATCTAGATCACAAACTTTGTAGATCTCTTGGCAGAAATTGCATTCGTCTGCTTTGGTCGAAGGGTACAAAATACTTTGCCTTGCCAAAGAATTGAAGTCCGCATTTTTAGCTCTATTCCCGCTTGTGCTAAAGTTGTGGGTTTTACCCGACTTTTAGGAAAAGTAGATAATTCTTTAGAACCTTCAATTCTGACGTACGCGGAAGCCGGGTTATTTATGTACATACGTATGAACGTATGAATTTATATTGTATTACGTATTGTATTATATTATATACGTATATATACTCCAGAAGTTTTTACATGTCAATAAATTCTTACCATAACGCAAATCACAGATTTGTGCATCCTTCTTCTTGAGTTTCTCGCAAATCTTATCGGCGGGCATAGACCAGCTCAATGGTTTGCTCAGCTCATTCAAGATGCCGGTGGCAGATTCTTCTAGACCACCTAAGTAGTAACACTAAAGAAATATGAATCGTCAAAGATATCTACAAATAATTGTACGCCCACAAATTTGAATACATATTTTTCTACACTTACGAATCTGTGTTCTTTATTCTTTTGCTTTTCGCAGAAATCCTTAAATTCAGCCTCAATTTTTTTATGATCCTTCTTTGTAGCATCGTCCAATGTGTCAGCGAAGCGTTTTACAGTCTTAATGCAAACTGAAAATGCAAATTTCTCTTAGTACCTACACATACAACCAAAGATTACATACGGATGTACGTAAATGGGCTTTGTTGAAAATACTGCCAGCTGGCAAATTTAACAGAAATCCATCTTCGCTCAAGAACTTACCTTCACAATCCTCCTCTTTTAACGCTATGCTACTTTGGACCAGTAGAAAGGCAAGTACCACAAAAACCACCTGGACACGCATTTTGGCTGTTATCTCTCTTTTATGAAATTTCTGGAAAAAACAATCAAAACAATCAGCAACAATTGGGCATTTGTTTGAACAGTTGCAAGGCGATGGTGCAGCAAGTTTCCAATTATGCCAAGTTTCGTCGCTACGTAAGCGTTTTCTACTAGCCACATGCGTATACACGCATACTTTTCCTATCACTTTTGGTCTTGCACTCTTTCTTTTCCTATTCAACATTTCACCCATATTTGCCAAGTGGGATGAGTACGCATTGGGGGGAAAACTACAATTTCTTGAGTTGCATTTAAATTAATTTTACTTACTTTTGAATCCTTTTGTCAGAATAATTTAGGCTTTATTCTTGGTGTGATATTTTCACTAATTGATCTTAAGTTTTGTTTGTGATTATTATATTTTATTCCTTTAACAAATGCCCTTATTTCTCAGCCGGTGAAAATAAAATAGCGAGAACTTTTTGACACTCACTTGTCGCTTTGTCATTGGCTGATTGCTGCGGCACACGGTTTAATAAAAATTTAGCGATGGCAACACTTAACGAACAGCTGATCATAGGCAGAGTTGTTATAATGTACGTAATGTTATTTCTTTCGTTCGCGCGTGATCTTGTGTCTTTCGTTCATGCAAATAAAACACTGAAAACAAATATTGAGGGAACAAAACCAAGGGAAGTATGTATTTAGTTTTTTTTATCTGTTCCTAAAAAATCCTTTTATTTAAAAGCGAAATACACCACACAAGTGGCTTGTCAAACATGCTTCAAACCTTCTTTTCCCGTTTCGCCATACACTGTGCAAACATGACATGTTGAAGTAAAATATTTTATTCTGAATATTTTAGTTTCATGTTGTTAAAAACTCACAGCCTTATCATGAGTTTCATTTTCCCCGAATCGGTTCACTTTTCACCTTTGGTTTCCATGTATTGATTAGATATGGGCGGCTGAAAATTTTTCGGGTGAATTTTTTTTCGGTCGAAACTCAGGATAAGGCAGATTATGGCGAATTTATCATTAACAATGCAAACGGTTTGACCAAACGTGAACATGTCCGCAAAATAAAAAAATAAAATAAAAAAAAATAATAATTATGATTTTTGTTAAAATTTTCCTCAAACGGCTTGTCAAATCTTCAAATATCCCCATACACAACACAAATAGCTTTAAGCAAAAGGATATTTCGCTTGTATTGTCAAGTCGCTTGTATTGTGTATTTCGCTCTTTAGCAAAGTTATGGATCGAATAACTTACCAAAAAAGCGTTGTAAAATAGAAATTTAATAAACATTAAGAGGGAAGTACACACCACAAGTGGCTTGACAACCAAGCGAAATATTCCTTTATTTCAAGCCATTTGCGTTATGTTTGGGGGTGTTTGAATGTTTGAAAACTCTTTGAGGGAACATGTTTGCTTGGTTAATGACGAAATCGGAAAAGTATTTTGAAGTATGTTTGACGAGCCGCTTGTGTGGTGTATTTCGCTGTTTAGACAGAAATTGCCCAAATTTTTGTCCCAATACCGACGCTCCATTTTCTTTTCATGTTTAAAATTGCCATAGATGTCGCAAGTGGGAAAAATTAGAATGTCACAATAAACAAAGTATTTGAATGACAAAGGGAAAACCGCGTCTCAAAAGTTTAAAACATTTTACAAAAGTGAAAAAAAATCTAACTCCTTGAAGTAAATAATGTGGTGCAATTTCGAGCAATCTCCAGTTGAGGAAGATACAATTTCCAACGCCTTCTCCTCACGTGGAATTTTTAGGATTCAAAGTGGAGAAGAGGTGAAAAACCAAAAATTTATTTTTGTGTATTTTGATAAGAATATAATGGTTATCTTTTAATAACACAGGTAAAGGAGTACCCGCAAGTACACGCTTCACTGCAAAACCAAAAAGTGGTTATCTCTGTGGATAAAAGTCTAATATTGCTGGAAGACGAGTTGGTGGCGAAATGTAGCTCCCTCAGCTTCAATGCGCACATAGATGCTGTTGCAATTTCGAATTCGGGAAATCTAATTTTAGTAGGGTTACGTGATGGCGAGATTCATGGCATTTTTATTAAAGGTCTACCGCTATTCAATGTAACCGTAAACGCTGAAGACGTACATGTGACAGGGCGCACTTTTGCTGGCATACAACAACTGGGGCAGTGTTTTCATATCAGTTGCACAAATGGAAGTGTCTATCAGTGAGTAGTTGTGGTAGTACATTGCTCTTTCCATACTATCCATAATATTATTACACTATGTTTAAGGCTCGGTGAAATCAATGAAGCGCTACTGGAGGCGAACCAAAATGTGTCCCTCAACGAAAATGAGACCATCGCTTTTGACGAAAGCATGTTAGGGCCAGTGCCAATCGAAAAACTGATAAGCGGTGGACGTGGTTTAAACGATGCGGAATCAACTGTTTTGATACCACAAATTCCATTGGAAGCGTTTGAACAGCCTGTACCACTGTTTATAGCCGGAGCGCACAATTCTGTTTTCTGCAGAGAGCGCACAAACGATCTGGTCAAGATTACACTGCCTGAACATTATCGCGGCGTAAAACGTATATTTAATTTAGATAATTATATGTAAGTAGCTCGTGTGTTCAGAAATACATAAAGCCAAGCAACAATCTTATTTCTAAACTATAATTGATGGAAATGTCCAATATGCGCAAACACCCCTAAATGCCAAATTGGGACTTGGGCCAGTTTTTAAGAGCCAGTTTAATTAGTTAGTTAAGTAAACGAGTTTAAATTGAACAGCTGGCTCACATTTGATTGGCTAATCTTAATTTAAACCAGCCAAATCGGGCGTTTAAACAGGGTTTAAATCACGGCCGTGTACTCAAAAACTGGCCCTTAGTTGCGCAAATAAGGAATTTCCATCAATTATAGCTTGNGACGAGTTGGTGGCGAAATGTAGCTCCCTCAGCTTCAATGCGCACATAGATGCTGTTGCAATTTCGAATTCGGGAAATCTAATTTTAGTAGGGTTACGTGATGGCGAGATTCATGGCATTTTTATTAAAGGTCTACCGCTATTCAATGTAACCGTAAACGCTGAAGACGTACATGTGACAGGGCGCACTTTTGCTGGCATACAACAACTGGGGCAGTGTTTTCATATCAGTTGCACAAATGGAAGTGTCTATCAGTGAGTAGTTGTGGTAGTACATTGCTCTTTCCATACTATCCATAATATTATTACACTATGTTTAAGGCTCGGTGAAATCAATGAAGCGCTACTGGAGGCGAACCAAAATGTGTCCCTCAACGAAAATGAGACCATCGCTTTTGACGAAAGCATGTTAGGGCCAGTGCCAATCGAAAAACTGATAAGCGGTGGACGTGGTTTAAACGATGCGGAATCAACCGTTTTGATACCACAAATTCCATTGGAAGCGTTTGAACAGCCTGTACCACTGTTTATAGCCGGAGCGCACAATTCTGTTTTCTGCAGAGAGCGCACAAACGATCTGGTCAAGATTACACTGCCTGAACATTATCGCGGCGTAAAACGTATATTTAATTTAGATAATTATATGTAAGTAGCTCGTCTTATTTCTAAACTATAATTGATGGAAATGTCCAATATGCGCAAACACCCCTAAATGCCGAATTGGGACTTATTTATTTAATCNGCGGCGTAAAACGTATATTTAATTTAGATAATTATATGTAAGTAGCTCGTGTGTTCAGAAATACATAAAGCCAAGCAACAATCTTATTTCTAAACTATAATTGATGGAAATGTCCAATATGCGCAAACACCCCTAAATGCCAAATTGGGACTTGGGCCAGTTTTTAAGAGCCAGTTTAATTAGTTAGTTAAGTAAACGAGTTTAAATTGAACAGCTGGCTCACATTTGATTGGCTAATCTTAATTTAAACCAGCCAAATCGGGCGTTTAAACTGGGTTTAAATCACGGCCGTGTACTCAAAAACTGGCCCTTAGTTGCGCAAATAAGGAATTTCCATCAATTATAGCTTGGAAATAAAAGAGCCTGATTCTTTGGCTTGATTCATTTCTGAACTTAACTTATATGTGGCCTAGAGAGTTTAAAATTTATTAATTACTTAAACGTTTTTTTTATAGCCTACTACTGACGTTCTCTGGCCATTTAGTCGAGTTTTGTCCTATCACCAAAACTGTATACTTTCCTCAAGCGCCAAAAGCAAAAGAACTGCTAATTGAAGATCTTATTATTATGGAATGCAACGAAGAAAATATCGAATTGTTGGTGTTGGTAAAGTCTGCGGATATGAGTGCTGAACGTCTTATGAAGTTTGTGGAGTATCCATGTAAGGGAAATTTTTTTCTAAAAATTACTNAAAAGCAAAAGAACTGCTAATTGAAGATCTTATTATTATGGAATGCAACGAAGAAAATATCGAATTGTTGGTGTTGGTTAAGTCTACGGATATGAGTGCTGAACGTCTTATGAAGTTTGTGGAGTATCCATGTAAGGGAAATTTTTTTCTAAAAATTACTTTTTTTTATATATCCCAAAAATTTTACCAGCTTTTAAATGCAATAGCGAGCTAGAAGTATCAGAACATGCCTGGCTTGTGCAACAGCCCAAATCTTCCGTGAATTTATATTACCTCATTGGAAAGCAAACAAATGAGAATAATATACCAACAGAAATCGAAATGGTTGTGGTGTCAGAAACGGATCCTAGCGAGCGTTTTAAGAAATTAATAACCAGAGGTGCTCTGGAAGAAGCTGAGGTAAGCGTGATTTAATGCATACATATGTATGTGCAATCTTTTAAAGGCAATAAAATATCTAATAACATTTCAGAGTTACGGAAAGCAATTTGAATTGTGCCTGCAACCGATTTACGAGGCAAAAGCAAAACGCATATTGCTAACTTTGACTTCTCTTGGTGACGTATGTATTAGAACTAAAATGATATTTATTTTTAACTTATTGTTAGTTCTTTTAGTAAATATATTTACGTATTTGTATTTATAGAATAATCCTGAACTCTTGGAACAAAATTTCAAGGACCTACTCGCATTACTAAAAAATATAGAAAGTAATGAATTTTTCAAAAATAATCGTATGATTAATATGCCTTCACGACGTACGCTGGAGCGTTACTTGCTAGAAATGTTAAAACATTTGGATGAAGAAGTATTAAAATAGCTTAATATCTTTAAATATAGGTTTATTCAATATCTGATTTTGTAGAATGATAACGATGATGTCTTAGAGATAAATGAACAACTACGTCGTCTTGAGACGCTTGCCATAATTGATCCCTATGAGGTCAATTCAGAGTGGTCGAAATTCGTATACCATTCAAATCTGATTAAAATGGTTATTGCATTATTTAAGACAGATATGCCGGCAGCATGCTTGATTTGGAAACGACACACTTCTGCTTTGTTACCCCATTTGAATGAGAAAGAAATTTGTCAACTTCTCAGTTTAATACCGAGTCATATTGAACCCTTCAACATAGTGCAATGGCTGCGACAATTCGTGCCCACTGTCAGTAAGACACATCCAAAATTAATGCCATACTTTGCCGAATGGAGTATACAAAAAACGAGAACATTGCAATACGCTGAACATTGGCCGGAAATTGGGTTGGAATTTGCAACCAAAGTGGCAGAGATATTCGAGGAAATACGTTTTATGCATTGGTGAGTCTGGAATAAAGTTCGAATTGAGCACACAGGATGTTCAATATTAATTACTGCCTATCTATTTAATACTGTATCAAAATATTTTACTATCCTCCCAGCGATGTACGCCGTCAGCATGACCGCAATATTGCTAAATTGCACGATCTCGTTAATGCGCTTCAGGACCTGTCCGTTCTGAAAAAACGTTACAACCTAATATTCACGCTGGATAATTATCTAAAGGATTCAATCGACGAAACAGCGCTCTGCATCTTGCAACGCGTTCATTTGGATAATTTGAAAAGTCTTGTCAATGATTTTCTCTATCCTATTTTTCAAGAGAAGGGCAAAACGCCAGTGAAGGCTTTACGTCAATATATTTCGCTTTTGGTAGTTAATCGCAATTCACTGAGCACTTGGTTAGGGCGCTCTGTGGCGTGCATTGATTTGCTGCACAACGAAGACGATCGACTCGAATGCGCGCTGCTGGTTTTGCAGGTATAAACCTTTGTTACTAATTAAAATTCCAAAGAAAATAACTAAACTAAAATAACTATTAACTTTCAGCGTGCACCAGTGCCCTGGCCGGAAATATCAAATTCGCTTATAAAATTGCGCTACTCCACACATCCACTCGCATTGAAAATTAATACAGAATATGAGATACAAGTTATAAAAATTATGAAAGTCAAATACGGCTGGCCAGCAGATAGTAATACAGGCATTAGTTTGCCACTTTTTATGCTACGCGTCGTTAAAATGCAGCTGCCCGATATGTTGGATGATATACGTTTGCTGACCAAAGCTGCGCCAGAAGTGGCAACAAGCGCCAGTTTTACTTGTTGTCATGAGTTAGTGCGCAGCAACAAACCTGAACTTGCTTATGAATATTTCAAATTGCTCATAAATGATAAGAACATTAAGGCGTGCATGAAGGTCATTGAAACTTACGCGGTATGCTTGGAAAATTTCAAACAACCGTTTAAAATTTATTTAGAAATATTCGTAATTTTTACTTTTACATAGGATATGCTAGAGAACTGCGCGCCGCCAACTGGCGACAAAGACATGGAAGAACAAAAAAATATGTTGGAATTTTTCAAATTAATTGTGCCGCATGCTGCTTGCCGCAGTGTTGAACAACAAATGCACGCCATACAGCAACGTTTCGTGCTGTGTCACAAGTTTCGCTTGCACGTAAGCACCGTCAGTGAATTTGTGCCGCTCTCCCAACGGTTGCAATTACTCGATCGTGGCTTTGAATGCGTAATGGATCAAAGCCAAGCAACGGTAAATGTGCCGCGTTTTATTGTCAGCGAGGTAGCTGATTTATGTGCAGCGCTGCAGTTTGAAAAAGTTTATGGTGTGTTGCATATAAGTAGGCGTATACATTGTCTACCGCTCACATCTGCCTTGGCATATGCAATACTCCAACTGGTGGACTGCACACCGAAAAATAAGGACGATTTTATTGGCTTGGCATTGGAGTTGCTAACGCAGCAGATTTTGGCGTTACGCAACATCAAAGGTAAGCAGTTAATTTTAGCCAGGGTAAGAGGCGAAAAAGTAATATGTATAATGAAATAAGACAGCATCTACAATATAAGGAAATAAGACATCTGATAGAATAGCAAGAGAGGCTTGAGCTCTTCAAGTAAAATTCTTAAAAGTATATTTATAAAATTTGTGTTAGTAGTACAGGATAGACATTTAAGAGTGGTTATATTTGGCATTAATTTGTAACCGAACATCCATGTGTATTCATGTTCTTCACTTTTAACTTTAAACAGCTCCAACTTCTCACAATGCTCTAGACAAAGATATCGATGTACTTACATTTCCTCTAGTATATGAATTACTGCTAAAGGCCTACCTACGGGAGGAACAAAAGTCAAGTCAGTTGTCCGAACTATTGAAGTATGTGCAATTAGCTGTTAGCAGCTATCCTGTTGATGCATTAGAAAGCTACTATGTCGGTAAAGAGCGTGAGGTCAATGAGAACATTTGCAGGGCATTGGATGTTGCGGAGATTACGCTAGCTGATACGACGCTTAATTTCTCAGCTGCGCAAGTGAATTGCTCATTCAATGTCAAGCCGGCTGCACCAGTCAAGAACCGCTACTCTGTGTCAATATTTGATCAAATCGAAGTGCAGCAAGAACAGCCGCGTACGAAGNAGTCAAGAACCGCTACTCTGTGTCAATATTTGATCAAATCGAAGTGCAGCCAGAACAGCCGCGTACGAAGGTAAAGTATCGTAAAGTAATTACTACTTATTCATAATTCTTACATATTTCTTTTATTCCGCCTGTAGAGAAATAGTGTGGAGCAAACTTCGATTATGAAATTTGTGGCACGGAGCATTTTATTACTGTTAGTAGAAACTACGCCCACTAACAGCATACTTCTACAGTTACGCACAATGTTAAATGACGAAATAGAAAAGGATGCAGCTGTCGAAGATTTCTTTTTATCGTTGGAGCAGCTAATCAAAGCGAAAATGCATGATGTTTGGTACATTATGGTGCAGTACATTTTGGAATATCAAGAACGTTATGAATGTAATATTATCAGCACAGATTTTGTGTCGCTACACTTGACGCGCGTCTTTCGCAATGTGATGTTAAATAAGGATGTTAATTTTATTGGTATGAAGGCATACATGTTCGTGTGTATGCATTTATGGTAACTAATATCACTCTTGTTTTCATATAATGATAGATCTCTTCAATATGCTCATCGCGGATAAAAATAAAGAATCTTTGCTGGAACTGCTGAGCAATGATTTGAAAACCGATCAACAACGCATTAATTTGCTAACACTTTGTGAAATGTATAACGTACATCTGGAAGGTCATAGTCAAGTGGAGGCAATACGCAACAAGTAAAGCGAAAAAATTCGTACCTAATTTAGTAGAAATAAATATTTTACAAACCTTTCGACCTCTTTTTTTACATAGACGTTTAAAACAATTCTACTATATGGAGTTTTGCAAGCAAGATCCCAGCATAAAGGGGAAATTCAATGTGGACACCGATAATATACAGCAATTGTTAAGATTATTCCATAATAAGAAATTGGACGTGAAATTATTGGAGCGGATGAGTAATGACTTCAATTTGGATTATCAGCAAATGCTTATAACGCAGGTAAGAAGAGGATAAAATGTATAATAACTAAAACTAAATCACACTAAAAAAACATTGCAGGTAATAAGCATATTGCTTGGTCAGGAACTTAAGTATGAAATAAAGATTGATACCTTCGGTGAGGAAGAATTGGTAGTATTAAGCACTGTCAGCGGTATACGTAATCTATGCCAACCATATTTGCATTCAATAAAAGATGCGGATTCGATGGCATCGAAATTAATACAATTCTTCAAAGAGGTACATATATATAAACATACATGTTTTTAAGAGATTTACTCATATTTTAACGACATTTTCCCGTTTTTAAATCGCCAGATAAACATCTATTTCTATGAGTTGTATTTGTATGTCATTGAAATGCTTTCATTTTTCGACAAAATGCCCAAGGAAATGCAAATTTGGACAAGTATGTTGCATTTTCTGAAACACAAAATGATAAAGCGTCGTCGCAATCGTCCTGGCCCACTGGAAACCGATATGTGGTTGCAATCGCAAAGTGAAATGGGTGTGATGCCGAAAATTGCACGCTTTCGCCTACCATTCAAGCCGATTGTAGAGCAACCATTAAAAGATATTTTAGGTGAGCCAATTACAAATTATATTATTGTTGTTTTAAAAACGACAATAATAAGCACTAAGTAGGCGTTCTAAAATTAAAATAAAGAGCATTATGACTTTCTTCATGAATCATAAATTTTTAGTCTATAGTGCACGTCAGATAGAGTAAAACTTATTCCGCATAAAGTACGCTTTTAAATTAGATACAAATATAACTAACGCCGGAAAGATTATTTGTCATAAATTTTCTTAATGTTTATTATCACTCCCAGATAACGAGCTTAGTGTCGATAATTGCGAAAGTTGGTTTCCTCTTATGCAAATGCACACTGTACTTAAGGGCTCAAATGATGTAGCAAAAGTGCGTGACTACTTATGCATGTCTGCCGTGAAGAATTCTATTGCCGAATACAAAGCGAAAAACGAATCCGAAATATGGCATCTACAACCCACAAATAATGCCTTCCTACAATCGGTATGTAACAGACTCAATATTGTACTCCTTTTTTTTGAAATTTTATGAAATCCTCTTTGACAATCCAATAGATACTGCGTCTTGTCAAGCATGTCACTAATCCATCTAAAACATTTATGATACTATATTTTGTTGCAAACTATGCACCGGATGGGGCGGATCAAGTGGAAGCTTCCTATGAATGCTATAAATATGCGCTGGCGCATGAGGAACTCATAACGAATGAAAAGTATCAGGATCAATTGGTTAAAATTAAGCGTAAATATCCTATAATTAAAACGCAGCACTTGCTTTACATTTATGGACTCACCGATGAAAAACTTTTGAGACTGGTTGAGAATCCAACTGAACTTATTTATAGCCTTTACCACCATGAGTTGATTTTGAAATCAAGCAAATTGGATATTAATACAGTTGCGAAAGAAATCGCCGAACTACATGGCTTAGACTTGCAAGCAATACAGTTTCAGTTATTGCAAAAGTGGTTGGCTTTCACAGTCGATGCCGGTAGTGCGAATATACTTGAGGAGACATTCTTCGAAGATCACAATTTAGTGGAAGAGGAGCAAACGAATGCGGGTAATGCGGCGGAGAATGTTATAAGGTGGGAACGATTTGTTAAGTAATTGTA